CCCAGCCTGGAGCCATTCTCAGGGTTTCTGTTTTTCAATTGATTGTGGAGGCTGCTAGAGGGAGGGGCAGCCTCTGGCTCTGGTTACCCAGTGAGGAAAGCCACTCCAATGGCTGGTGCCTGAGCTGGGTGACTTTTCCCTGGATGGAACTGAGTCTGGCAGGTCACTTTGCCATTAAGTTCTTGTGACCTGTTAAATGACTCGTTTTATTCCAAGGCCTGAGTTGGAGCTAGCAGCTCCTCCGAGCTTTGTCGGTATCCAAGATGGAGATCACCGGTGCTGGGGGGGGAGGGGTGGCCTTCCCTCCTCTGCTCCCGGAGAAGGAGTGAGGACGTCGGGCTTCTACTCATGCCGAGTCTTGGATCCTGGGTCGTCTCTGGTCTGCAAAGTGCAGGATGAAGATGTCCGCTCCTTGTTGGTTCTTGCTGGTGTTTAGAATCCTCTCGCCCGCTGTGTCTGGCTCCTTCATCCCGGACTCTCTGTGTGAGCGCTCAGGTATGGTTGCGGCTGCGGTCACCGGTCGCCGCTGCGACCCTGCCGCCGCCGCGGCGGCTGCTGGCAGGCGCTCAGATGTGTCTCCTTGTCTTGGCTTCCCCTCTCTTTTCTAACTCTCTGTCCTGTGATGGCACACTTGGTGTGATTCTCTGGCTTAGGACTGTTCACTGGAACTCTAAAACTGCTTTCTATGCGAGAGCTTGTTCAGATTCCAGCTTGTCCTCCGCCATCTTCCCGGAACTCCCCCTTGTGCAACTTCTTAAAGATAATTTTTTAAATGTGTGAGCTCCATTGTAAGACCCCAGTGTGCTTGTGTTATTTAGAGAAAATCAGTTTGGGATAGTTTTAATTTAATTGTATCTTGGTCTAACTCAGGCAACAGCTTTTGGAAACCACTAATCCAGTATATGACCTTCTTCTCCTGTTTCATTTGGATTTGAAAGCATTTATGCTCACCATCTTAGTCCTGCACTGCAATCAGACATGGAGGAGAAGGAGAAAGAAGGAGAGAAAAAGAGAAGAGAGGGGGAGAAAGAGTAGGGGAGGTGAGAAGGGAAAGGACTGGCAGAGATAGGGAGAAAAGGGAAGTGGCAGAGAGAGAGATCAATGAAAAAGGGACAAGGGAGAGAGAGGCAGTCAGGGAAAAGACAGAGGAAGCAGAGGAGCATGGGGAGAAAAAGAAGCAGAGAGAAGAGAGAGGAGGGAGTAGAAAAAAGATAGGAAGGGAAGGAGAGTAGAGAGAAAGAAAATGAAAAGGGGAAGGAGGGGAGAGAAAAAGAAAGGGAAGAAAGAACAAAAGAAAAAGAAAACAGAAGGAAGGAAAGAAAGAAAAACAAAAAAAGAAAGAAGTAAGGAAAAAAGGAAAGAAGGAAAGAGAGAAAGAACAATAAAGAATAAAGGAAGAATGGCAGGAAAAAAGTGAAGACCAAGAATGAAACAAAAATTTACAATTTTATCTTCCCTTGCCCACTGCTTTTTATTTTTATTTTTGTCATGGGGATTGAACTCAGGGCCTGTCTGAGCTCTTTCACTCAAGGCTAATTCCCATTCTGAGACATAAAACCACATCCAGATTTCTGGGTGTTAATTGGAAGTAAGAGTCTCACAGTCTTTCCTGCCCAGGCTTGAACCACGATTCTCAGATCTCAGCCTCCTGAGTAGCTAGAATTATATATGCTATATATAATTCTATCTATAATTCTATAATTATAGAATTATAGCCACCAGGCACCCAGCTTCCCAGTGATTTCTTAAAAGTCAAATCTAAAGAAAACCAATCTTGAGTTTCTCTTGTGTCTAACACAGTAGTTGAATGGTCACGGTTGACCCAATTTTTTGTGTTCTCTAACAGCTACAGAAGAAAAGAAGTTGTACAGAATAACTGTATGAAGAAGCCATTTGGAAGGCAGGTTTTTGGGTTCTTTTTCTGACAGAAATTCTCTTCTTTTGCCTAGTTTCCTTGGTATTTTATAATTTTCAGGACATAGTGACACTTATTAACTCATTGTCTCATTTGTTCTCTGGAGGGAACAGGACCATCCCACTGCAAAATTTTTTAAAATATTGATTTCCTTAACCTGTACCGTAGTGAATCAGGCAGGACTAGTTTTATTTATACTGTTGACAAGATAATGAAGGTGTACAGAGGCAGGTTCTCCTTCCAGGTCTGATAGTGAGTAAATGATGGGAACCCTGGGGTTTGACCCCTGGAAGACTGTCTTCTGAATCTTTGCTGTGACATCTCTGTTAGATCTGGATTCCTGTTTCCCCATTCATCCTCCATGGGTCCTGCTTGCAGCATCTTTCCACTGCTTCTCTCCTGCCTACTCTTCCTCCTTATTCCCATGGATCCTTGTCTCCTTCATATTCAAACTGACTCTTGGCTGGGAGCCATGGAACTGAATCTACCCAAAGCCAGTACCTTATTCATTTAGAATTTCACTCTTTTCACCCTGGTACATACTGAAGTTTATATAATATGTGTGATTTGACATATCCCACAAATATTATGTAGTATTTAAATCCTTCACAACCAACTGTAGAATTTCAAATGACAAGGGGGAGTAATGTGTGTGATACACTGTATAAAATCCTTTACTGTCTGAAATACTGGTACTCAATTTGTATCATTTTATTTGAAAGGTCATCATTTTATTAGAATTATTTTGACTCATGTAATATTCATTTTTATTGTGAAAGTACTATACAAATTGGTTTCAATTACATAGGCAAGGTAATAAGTACATTTCTTATCAAGCATTTTTGCCTCCTCCTTTATTTCCCCTTCCCATCCCTTCCCATCTCCCCACCCGCTCCCTCCTTCCTCCCCCCCCCCCCCCCCCCCCCCCCCGCCGCAACCTCCCTGGCCAAAGTTGTAAAGTTCGTGTTTTGACATAAGTTCTTCTATATCTCATTGTTGCAATGGGTCCACCCATATCTCCATTTGTTTTTTTCCTTTCCCTCCACAAATTATACCATCATCAAAAACCATGAAAACAGGGGTTACACCGTGGAGGAGAGACATACAAAGAAACAAAAATATTATCTTATTTATATGTTAGAAACAATCTCAAGAAAGAAAAAAAATTGATTCCTAATCTTGGGGTTCATTTCAACTAACATCAACTTATCTGACCATTTCTGCTTGTCCCAGACATATACTAGTTATTGCAAATAAGGGAAACCATAAGACCTATGTTTCTTTGGGCCTGGCTTACTTCACTTCATATGGTTTTTTTCCAAGTCTTTCCAATTCCTAACAAATGAGGTAATATCACTCTTTCTGATGGAGGCATAGAATTCCATTGTGTATATATACCACATTTTCTTGATCCATTCATCTACTGAGGGGCATCTGGGTTGATTCCAGATATTAGCTATGGTAAATAATGCTGCAATGCACATAGTTGTGCTGGAAGATTTAGTATGGTCTTGTGATCATTTGGGTAAATGCCCAAAAGTGGGATTGCTGGGTCATAGGGGAGCTCTATGTGAAGTCTTTTGAGGAACCTCCATACTACTTTCCAAAGTGATTGAACAAGTTTACATTCCCACCAAAAATGCAGTAAGGTTCCCTTCTGTCCACATCCCTTCCAGCATCTGTTGTTATTAGAATTCTTGATTCAAGCCATTCTAACTGGGATGAGGTGTTATCTCAATGTTGTTTTGATTTGCATTTTTTTTATGGGTAGGGAAGTTGAGCATTTATTCATGTGTCTATTGGCCATTCTTCTTTCCTCTTCAGAGAAGTTTCTTCTTAAGTCTTTAGCCCAATTATTTATAGGGCAATTGTTCGTTGATTATTTGTTGTTGGGAGATTTATGTTTTTGAGTTCCAGGTGTATTTTATAAGTGAGACCCTTGTCCGTTGTATGGCTAGTGAAGATCTTCTCCCAATCCGTGCGCTCTCTATTGATCTTGTTACCTATGTCCTTTGCCATGCAGAGGCTCTGCAATTTCATGAAATCCCATTTGTCCAATCTTTCTTTGATTTGTTGTGTTTCTGGGTCTCTTTAAAGAAAATTTTGGCCTGTGCCAAGGAGACCTATGGTTTCTCTATTCCGTCCTGTAATGTTTTCAGAGTGTCTGCTTTGACTCTGAGGTCTTTGATCCATTTGGATTAGATTCTGGTACAGGGTGATATATAGGATCTAGCTTTAGTTTTCTACAAGTGATTAACCAAGTTTGCCAGCTTCATTTACTGAAGAGGCTGTTGTTCTTCCATTCTATTTTTTTTAGCTTCCTTATCAAAGATTAGATGGCTATAGGTCTGTGGGTTCATTTCTGGGTTTTCAATTCTAGTCCATTGGTCATGTTATCCTCTATCTTAGTTTATCCTTGTTTTATTCTACTAGTAATTTGTTCATGTAACCATCATGGTATTTCCATTCTTACCCTGCCATAGTGGTATATAGTGTAATTATACCAGCATACTGTAAAATTTTGTGATCCTCAGGGTTACTCTGAGAACACCTTTCATCTTCCAATTTCTGTTCTTTTTTTTTTACACTGTAATAAAACACTAGATAATTAACAGACTACTAGAAAGACTAAATGTTTCAGCCTTATTTGTGATTGGAGTTTCAAATTTACCAATCAGAGTGTGAGCAGATTTATTATGCAATGATGAATCATCTAAGAGATGTCCTTGAAAAAGTGGTAGCCTACCTGACCCTTACTGATAGGATGGTACCTATGACAATGAGCTGTTCTGGCCAGGAGTTGTTATGTTGAAAATTGAGGGGATGAGTGGGGCTGGGAGACATGGAGAAGAATGAAGGAAGGGTGATGTTGATCAAGATGCACTGTCCTCACAAACTGACATGTTGAATTGAAACCCCTCTGTATAGCAACTGAAAGATAAAAATGTATTAAAAATAAATTAATTTTGTAAAAAGAACTTAACAGACATTCTACAAGTGAGATTGTACTTGCTCCTGGGGTTGCCACTAGATCTGTATTCTATTAATCTTTTATTCTTTGCTTCTTTTTTTGGGGGGGGTGCAGGTAAACATGGCATCAGAATCCACTATGATGGCCCCCATTTGTCTAGTGGAAAATGAGAAAGAGCAGTTGATGGTGAACCCCGAAGCAGTCAAGATTCTTGAAGCGATTACACAGCCTGTGGTGGTGGTGGCCATTGTAGGAATGTATCGTACAGGAAAATCCTACCTGATGAACCGCCTGGCAGGACACAACCAAGGTGAGTACTTTCTTAGGACAGGAGTCATTTGCTGGGATCCTTGATAATGCAAGGTAATCATGCTTGTTATACCATCAAGAAGAATCTGACTCCTGCTAAGGGAAAATCTTTCAATCTTTTTTAAGATTGACATGAAAGCTTATCATTTTAAATCCATACTCATAAGATCTCACCCTACTCTAGTAAAAAACAGGAATTTTCCTTATTCTGTTTAGTGACCTAAAAGAAGAGTATTCTGGTACAATCCAATCTTACCTACTCAGTTCCTTTGATTATTTCCTTCCTCCCATTGACATAATTTCATTAAGACTGTAGAAACAATGCAGATGTCACCCAGTATGCTTTGTTTATAAAAGTGAAATAAAGGAAGATTGTAAGATATAAGAAAAGCAGAAAGAATAGCATTTTCTAAAAAAAATATGATTTATAATTTTTACTAACTTTATAAGTACTATAAACCATATAAATAATGTAGAAAAATTGTTTCCAATACTGTCATGTGTATTTCTTATTTTGTTAAATGCAGGGTGATTTTTGTGATTTTTTATTTATTTTTAAATTTTATTATCTTCAAGTCATTGCACAAAGACGTCAGCATTCAACAGAGCAGTTCATGATTGCAGTACATCTTGATCAGTGTGAATGATTTCCTTAAATAAGGTCATTTTATTTGCTCCTTCTTGGTTTCCAGAAAATCTGTCACTAGTTCTATCAATCCTTTGCCTATGAAGGTTCCCTTCATTATATTTTATTTCTTCTCTTCTAGTTCATTTATTTTAAAGGACAGACTCTCACAGTATGATATTCTCAGAACTTAAGACACACCTGTATTAATATTTTTCTCTTTGGTTGCAGGTTTCCAGCTGGGAAGTACAGTGAGGTCTCAAACAAAAGGCATCTGGATGTGGTGTGTGACTCACCCAAGGAAACCAAATTTCACCTTGGTCCTTCTGGACACTGAGGGTCTGGGTGATGTGGAGAAGGTAAATCAAAATCATGGAGAATTCGTTTGGTTGTATTTCTTAACTTAGCAGTTGTCACCTTAATTAAATTTCCACTGCTTAATTCAATTCCTACAACTACAAATCCAATTATGGATTAAGGCTAAATTGTCTCTTTGCATTACTCTGATAAACCCTAATATTTTGATGAATTATTATTCTTTTTAAAAAACTTTCCTCCTTTTTCTGACTTTGATTTTTGGAAGTGGGTCACTAGATCTACCCATTCTTTGTTCTTTGATTGGTTTAAATCAGGATTTTGTATATCCTAGACAGTGTTCTACCAATGTGCTACAACCTTAATCTAGTCTAGACATCTTAATGTGAGATGGTAGTGACATTAAATTCTACCTCAGACACAGGGAGCATGTACATGTGCTATTGGAGATCTTCCATAAGGAAGAATTTTCCTCTACTCTGTCAGCTGCTTATTTACTCAATCATTCATATCTGCATAAAAGAAAGTCTATGTATGCTTTGATTTATGCTTTTGTGGAAGGTATTGGGGAATGATTAAAGAAGAGCCTTGCATACATTCTAGTTATATGCTTACCACTGAGCTGGACTCTGGTCTCTATACCTTGTTTTTGCTTTGTTCCATCTTTGGATATTGAGAGTTCTTTGTTTGTTGTCATGTTATGGTGAAATTTTCTCTGCAGCTGAGAATATTATCCAATGTAGTAAATATTCGCTAAGGATACCAATTCTAAGTCCCTATCCTATATTCTATAGATCCACCAGTAAAAGGTAAGGACCTAGTTCAGGAGCCAATACACATTTTGTATAACCGGTACAAGTGGTATAGATGTCCAGAAGAGGCCATACAATTTAGGTATATGGGTCAGAGACTATTTCTTAGGGGTATGGACATCTCAGCACTAACTTATGAGGCCAAGACGACTTTAAATCTATTACCATAATATAAATTGCTTTTGTCTAGAATTACTCACTTCCTCTGTAATTTGGTGGGAGTTGAATAGTACAGAATTGTATTTTTCTATACTTCATGATCCATCTCATCCTTAATCTTGTTTCTGGCTTTATCTTTCAGCCCTTTACACAGGCTCACTGCTTCAGCCAAATGATAGGACAATGTGATACATGACTTACACTTTATAATATTTCTCATTTGTCTACTATTGGTTTTACAATGTGTGTGATCTTTTAATCTCTTCTTACACATTCTATCAGCTTTAAAATAAATGAAGCAGATTGAAACAACAGCTATTATTCCAGTGAGACATTCACATGTGTGAAGCTGCAAAGCATTTTTTCCTATTTACTAAAATGGTCAATTTTCTCTCACACAACAAAATTTTAGTGGATTATTGGCAGAGATGATCATCTTGGATGCATATATGCATATAGGCGCATATATGTTGCATTTATTTAAATACTATATATGATTTTTTTAATATTGTGGCATCCTACTGCATATAGTTGCTGTAGAGAATATTTATGCACATTGACAATATCATTCACTCTAAGAAACCAAGGCCTGAGGAAAGTTACTGTTAATGAAAAGCAAGTGTAAACAGGATAATTTCATAAACATTGATCTTTGTTTCCTCTATTGGAATTGAAGTCCTAAGTGGACAATAAGTGAAAGAATGAAACAAGTAGACTTCTCTGTTCCTTGCTCTCATGTGCTTTCTAGTGTGATCCTAAGAATGACTCGTGGATCTTTGCCTTGTCCATTCTACTTAGCAGCACCTTTGTCTACAACAGCATGGGAACCATCAACCAGCAAGCCCTGGATCAGCTGCAGTATCCTTCCTGGAAAAAAAAAGTCATCTAGTATTGAGTTTAGGAAAATGGCAACTAACCCTGTTTCTTTAAGCGACTCAGTTTTCCTGGTTGAGAAAGGGTACATTACACAAAATGGAATGTTATCAATGGGTTTGTAGGTGAGATCTGAAACTTGTTTATGATGTATGGTCCTTTTCATTCCTTAGCTAAGATCCCAGCTATGTAACTGAACTAACAGAGCTAATCAAGGCAAAGTCCACTAAGAAGTCTGATGAAATGGATGATTCTGATGAATTTGTGAGTTTTTTTCCAGACTTTGTTTGGGTTGTTCGGGATTTCATTCTGGAGCTGAAGTTAGATGACCAGCCCATCACAGAGGATGAATATCTAGAGAATGCCTTAAAGCTCATTCCAGGTACCAGAGGGAGGCCCACGAAGGGGAAGGAGTCAGTAGGGTTATAGTATATACTAAGCCCTTTTAATCTGCATTGGATGTGCATGCTTATTTGAGATTGGATTATGCTACAGTACGATACTAATTATACTAAGGCAACTGATCAGTTGTCTTTTAAAAAATATCACTCCATTTAAAAAATTACATTTTTATTCTATTAAAATGTACGTTTTTTTAAAATGTAGTGTCTTTTTCTACTTTATAGTCCTCTAGTATCATTTATGACAACAATTCTCATATCTAAAAAAGTTAAATAAACTTCAATAGACCATTTCATGAAATACTACATGTAAGCCAATGATTTATAGAATTCTATCAGTTCTCATAGATGATATGTCATAAAACTTGAAGTTTCAAAATAAAAACCAACAATTCTTTCTAATATGTTGTACCTGAACATTTAAAATAACATGTTCTACTGAAATTGTTCATCACAGAACCATATACAAATAAAATATTCACAAAATATGTTTTAAAAAATGTTTTGGTTTTTCATCTGAACAATTAGTAAACCCACAGAGACTTCTATGCTTGTTCTAGTATTATCATTTGAAAGTCTTCAAGTGGAATATGAAATCACTAAAATGGGTACAAATTCTGGATCAAATTATTTAAGGCCCATTAACACCATGAAAAATCATCCCTATTATAATCCATCCTATAATGTTGAAAGGTCCATTTATTAAGTTTTGGTTTTTTGTTTGTTTGTTTTTTGTTGGTCATGGGGCTTGAACGCTGGGCCTGGACACTGTCCATGAGCTCTTCAGCTCAAGAGGACTGCTCTAACACTTAAGCCACAGCTCTACTTCCTATTAAGTTTTTTTAAATTTATTTTTTATTCTTTTATTGTGAAAATACCATACAGAGGAGTTACAATTACATGGGCAAGATAACGAGTAGATTTCTTATCAAGCATTGTTGCCTCCTCCTTTGTTTTTCCCCTACCATCCCTTCCCTCCCACCACCACAACTACACTCCTCTACCTCCCCACTTCCCCACCCCGTCTAAATTGTAAAGTTTGTTTTTCAATATACTGTCTTGTACAAAGTGGTTTTTATTTTCTTGCTATTGTTTCTAACGTATTTATAATGTACCAAGTGATGTTTTGGTTTTTGTTTTTTTGCATGTTCCTGACCCACAGTATAACCGCTGTTCTCACTGTATTTGATGTCTGTGCTCTGCATCTTGTATGTACACTTCTCTAATTTGGGGAGGGGATGGGAAAAAACAAAATGCTTATTGATCAATGCTCTAGTTGTTCACATTGACTCTGTAAAACCTCATAGAGTAATTTAGAGAATGAAGAGATATCCATAATACATCTAAGTTAATTTTACTGTTCAAAATTTTCAGTGAAAATAGTCTTTAAGCAATTTGTGGTATGTACTTATACTTGTGAGTGTGTATACATATATACAGATATATGTATTTGTATATTTCTAGCAGCTTTTCTGTTCTGACTTGAATATTATGTATCTTCTTTCTAGCATTTTCTCCAGTAGCATCTTACCCTTTGCTGATATAATTTTATTTTATGTCTTAGATTTAGTTTCTGACAAAGATACACTAGAATCAGAAAACTGCTTCTACCATTTTGCTTCACTGAGTTAAATTTTAACTCAGGAGAGTTTTGCCAGAACTAGGGATACTAATCAATTTTTTCCCTTTTGTGGACAGATAGATGCCTAATCTTCAATTACTTGTTGGGTTTTGCCTCTGTGCACAAGGTTGGTTTGCAATGAAATATCATTTTAAGGATTGTGAGACAGTGATGTAAAATCTCTGGAATAAAAATATTCAGCCCCTTGTTTGATGGCTGCCCTTACAATGATCCATTTTTTCCTTTTATTTTTTTATTATAAATGCTCAAAATGTGTTATTGAATTTGTGTGTTGTCTATAGACAAGTATCTTAATTTTTCTTAGAGATCAACTTTCATTTATAACTGCTACAATTAGGGCTTGCTACTCTGTATTATTCATATATGACTGCATTTTTGACTGACAGTTTCTTATATCCATTTTATCTCCTTTTTTCATTTTATTTTATTTTTTGTTGTGAAAATTCCAAACAGAGGGGTTACAATTACATGAGCAAGATAATGAGTACATTTCTTTTCAAGCATTGTTGTCTCCTCCTTTGTTACCCCTTTTCATCCTTTCCCCTCTCCCCACCCGCCCCCACATTCCCCCCTAATGACTAGTATATGTCTGATGTAAGCAGAAACTATTAGACAAGTTGATGTTAGGTGAAGTGAACCCCAAGATAAGGATTCAATTTTTTTCTTTCTTGTGATTGTTTCAAACATATTTATAAGATGATTTCCTTGTTGCTTTGTATGTCCCTCCCCCATGGTATAACCCCTGCTTTCACTGTATTCCTTTTATTTTTTATAGGCAAGAATCAGAAAATTCGAAATGCCAACTTGCCTAGGGAGTGCATTAGGCATTTCTTTCCAAAACGCAAATGTTTTGTCTTTGATCGACCTACAAAAGAAAAGGAACTCTTAATTCATATTGAAGACTTGTCAGAAGACCAGCTGGATTACAATTTCCAAGTGCAATCCAAAACCTTTTGCTCTTACATCTTTGCCAGTGCAAAACCCAAGAACTTGAGAGAGGGAATTATTGTCACTGGGAAACGTGAGTCTTCTTTGCTCCTGGATTTACCTCTCTTCTTAATTCCCTTAAGTAATGCTTTGATTACATTTTTGCATTTGCTAAAGGTATAGAAAAATAGTAGTTCATGCTTCATATAATTTCATCTTTTCTAATTATTGTCTGTCTACATGGAGCTTTATTGAGATAGAATATACCTTAAGAAACTGTTCCACAGATCATATAAGAGCCAACTGATGCTAAGATTAATTCCTGTGTTTATATTAAGTCACTTGGGAAAGTGTTCTGTATGGATAGAAAAATATATTGTAAATTTAAACTAGTTATGAATCATATAAGATGCCAAGTACCTATAGGATTATTAAGAGTTTAAAATCAAAATTCAGTTAATTTCTAATTACAGAAGTGTCTTCAGGATGTGGACAACATGCACACATAATATTAAGTTCTGCCATGATGTTCTTCTTAAATTAACATGAAGATTTTCATTCCTATTTAGAATTGGGTCCCAATAGTTAGACAATTTATTTCATTTGTAAACTTCATTCATTTTGCCTGTGTAATCTGCTATTTCTTAACTTTATATGAAATTCTCTAGACAGAATTCATTGATCATATTGGTGGTTATTAGTGATGTAAATTATAATATGTGAATTAAGAGCCTGAAAGAAAAAAATTAATAGGAAAAAGCAGTGGTGTCAGAAGAAGTAGACTTTGTCAAATACGATAAAGGAATTTCATATCAGCTACTCAGGACTCAGTGATTGGGAAGATAATAAAGTAAGGTTATCTAGGGCAAAAAATTAGCAAGAAGCTACCTCAATCAGTAACTAGGCATGGTGGCTTGTGTCTGTTAACACAGATATGCAGAAAGCATAAAAAGGAGGCTCACAATTCATGATAGCACAGATATATACAAAGGATGCTATCCTTAAAATAATATCAGAAGCAAAAGTGGGGCTAGGAATGTGGTATAGTGGCAGAGTGCTTGCCTAGCGTGCATGAAGCCCTGGATTTGATTCTTCAGTACAACATAAACAGAAAAAGGCAGAAGTAGCGCTGTGGCTCAAGAGGCAGAGTGCTAGCCTTGAGCAAAAGAAGCTCAGGGACAGTACCCAGGCCCTGAGTTCAAGACACAGGACTGGAAAAAAAGCAAAATGTGTTGGTGGTGTGGTTCTATTCATATAGCATTTGCTTAGTTAGCGTGAGGCCCTGAGTTCGAGCCATGATATCACCAAAAAGAAGTGTGAAAGTTGTTTAAAGTCTTAATGTTTTTCAGAATGCTAATTTTAGAATAAAATAGAAGTGTAGCTTGACGTTTATCCTTAAATTATTGGGCTCATCCAGGACTGGGGACTCTGGTGGAGACTTATGTCAGTGCTATCAACAGTGGAGCAGTGCCATGTTTGGAAAACGCTGTGACTACCCTGGCCCAGCGTGCGAACTCAGCAGCTGTGCAGAAGGCAGCCAACCACTACAGCCAGCACATGGCTCAGCAATTGAGGCTCCCCACTGAGGACCTCCAGGAGCTGTTGGATGTGCATGCGGCCTGTGAGAGAGAAGCCATTGCAGTCTTCATGGAGTTATCATTCAAGGATGACAAGTGGGAGTTTCAAAAGGATCTAATGGTACGATGTCTGCTCCTGGTCTGTCTTTCCTGAAGTCTTTCCCTTTTGAGACAATGCTAATGCTCATCATTTTAACCCTATGGATCATTTGCCATCTGTACTTTAAGGAGCCTGGAATTTTATGAGTGTGAGGATTCCTACAGGCTGATGGGTGCCAGACATTTTATCTTTTATTGTTGCACAATAAATTACAATATGGTTGGCAAGTAAAAAACCCAGACACCAGTGGCTCATGCAGTAATCCTACCTACTCACAAGACTGAGATCTGAGATCATGGTTTAGAGCCAGTCTGGGTAGGAAAGCCCATGATACTCTTGTCTTCAATTAAACAGCCAAAGTCCAGAAGTGGAGCTGTGACTCAAATGGTGCTAGCCTTTATCAAAAAGCTCAGGAATAGCTCAGGCCTTGAGTTGAAGCCTCAGGAACAGCATTTAAAAAAATCGCATGTGCATTTATAAATTTAACATACCATTGTATACATATGACCTATGGTTCTGTATGTCATATGCAATCATATACTTATAACATACAGTTGATATATCTATATAAAATGCAGTCCTGTTTATCGTAAGTATAGTGTGTGGATGTTGGATAAGCCAACAAATGCTCTGCTCAGAGCACCCAAATGAGGTCACAACTTCAATCACTGCAAACAAGTTGCTGTCAGGATAAAAGCACTTCACACTCTTATGTGCACACTGCAAGAATTAACAAATGGTTCCCAAACCATGAACATATGAGAAACTTCAGAAATATTGCAAAATTTTCAATGCATTCTTTTTCATCCTTGCAACACACACATCCTGAGCTTACTCTCCTTTTAGCCACATTCACTTGCTATAGCTTCTTTTATGGCTATATTGTTGTTCATCACTGGGCTGTTGAAAGAATTGTGTGGGGCCTGTAATTAAATCCCATCATTTTACAGAGAATGAGCCTGGCTCCCAGAATGTTCAGGGACTTACCAATATTACTCAGACAGTTTTCAGAAGTGGTAATGGCTCCTTCCCCTGTCCACATGTGCTCCGAGGCCTTCACCTTACTTTTTCCATGAAGATCACCATGGAATTTCTTTCTAATGCCTTTATTGTACTGTCTTCCTATCATCTTAACAGAACACCATAGAGAGAAAGAAGGAAGATTTCATCCTGCAGAATGAAGATGCATCTGGAAAATACTGCCAGAGGGAGCTGAAGAAAATTTCCCAGTCTTTTATGGAAAGCATTTCCAATAGCACTTTCTCTATACCTGGAGGACATAATCTCTACTTGGAAGGCAAGAAGAAGGTTGAGCAGGACTACAAACTAGTTCCCAGGAAAGGGGTAAAGGTGAGGAATAAGGGGATGAATTGCAGTTAGTCAGAGAATCTCATTTATGTATTTATTTGTTTCTTTATATATTCATATATTGTCAGTTGTGGGGTTTGAACCCTGGGTTTGGTCTCTGTCCCGGTACTCTTCAGCTCAAGGCAAGTGCTCAACTGCTTGAGACACAGTGCCACTTCTAGTTTTCTAGTGGATGTTTGGAGGTAAGAGTCTCCTGGACTTTCCTGCCCTGGCTGGCTTTGAACTGTGATCCTCAGATTTCAGCCTCCTGAGTACCTAAGATTACAGGCATGAGCCATTGGCACCTGCTTGGGAATCTCATTAACAAAGAACACAGAATCATTTGTGAGAAGAAAATCTGCATTTTTCCTTCTTTATCCACAATTAATTATTCTTAAACCAGAAACTTCCAAGTAGAGTAGGATTATTTCTTAAATGAAACCGTGCAATCATTTCTTAATTAAGTTAATGAGATATGAAAATTAAAGATACCCTTTGTTCTATTCACAAGAAACTGATAGTCTTGCCTCAGATACAAATGGTAAATTGAATTTAACAAGATAAGGTATGCCATGCTGGCATGAACACCAAGTAAAAATAATGGTGGGATTAATATGGTAATAATATTAGTGTTAATAATGCTCACACATATTCAAAATCATATTTTATATTCCATTTTGGGTTTTTTTCTTTTTGTTTGATTTAAGTCAAGGTGTTTCATGTAGTTAAGGCTGGTTCCAACTCATATCATTTCCACTTCAGCCTTAACAATTCTATGATTAGAAGTATGCACCACTACGTCTCAATTTTGACCCCTGAATTTGTATCATAAATACTCAGTAACCTGTAATTTCAGGCTACTTGGACACCTATAATTTAAATTTCAGAAATATCCTATAAATTACTACTAATGTTATCCAAGTTTTGTAGTTGAGAAATATGAGGCATAAGGAAGCTAATAAGTTGTAAATTCCTAGAGCCTGTACTCGGGAAACCTGGTAGACAGTTCATAGGATAGCCATACAGAACTCTGGAGTTAGCTCAGGAAAGATTTCTCTAAGAGCAGAATGAAGGTCAAGATGAATTATCAGAGGATTCCTTGTATTTTAAATAAAAGAATACAGGAATCTTGGTAGAAGAATAGAATGTAGGGATATATTTTTTATTTTTGTGGTAGTATGTTTTGAACCTAGGGATTCCTACTTGCTCAGGTAGTGTGCTGTCATTGGACCCATGCTTTTAGTTTGGCTCTCTGCTGGTTTTTTTTTTTTTTTTTGGGTCCGGTGGTGGGGCCTGAACTCTGGGCCTGGGCGCTGTCCCTCAGCTCTTTAGCTCAAGGCTAGCGCTCTACCACTTGAGCCACAGCGCCACTTCTGGCTTTTTTCTTTTTGTTTATGTGGTGCTGAGGAATCGAACCCAGGGCCTCAGGCATGCAAGGCAAGCACTCTACCACTGAGCCACCTTCCCAGCCCTCTGCTGGTTATTTTGGAGATAGTGACTCATGGATTTTTCTGTCTAGGCTTGTTTCAAATGAGGATCTTCTGTATCTCAATATCTCACTAGTTATGATTTGTCGGCATGAGCCACCAGTGCCCAGATAGAGAGTATACACTAGAGAGTATACACTTTAGGTACATGTAAATCTCATTGATATCCTGGAATAGCAATAGATTTCTCTGTTGCAAAAGAAAAAAAAAGGATTGAATCTGGTTGCTGGTGTCTCATGCTTATAATGCTAGCAAGTATACACACACACATACATACATATATACATACATACATATATACATATATATATATATGTATGTATGTATGTATATAATCTCAGCAGGCTGAGATCTGAGGATTGCAGTTCATAGCCACCAGGAAAATATGTGGTACTGTTATCTCCAATTAACCACCAGAAGCCAGAATTGGCAATGTAGTTAAAAATGGTAGAGTGCTAGTCTTGAGCACAAAGATCAGGAAGAACAGCCAGGCCATTAGTCCAAGTAGGAGAGTAGGGCAGAGGCTGCTAAAAGTGTTTCTAAGCATTACAAGAGAGATTGGCTTTGCTTTTATGGTTCAAGAAGGAACAGACACAGAGGAATCTTGAAGACAATTGAAATTTTACAGGATTTAGAGGGAAATAATTTCTGCAACAAGTTAATAGACTTTTGTTGTTTGACATATTCCACTTGTTTATTTGTCTCCTAGGCAAATGAGATTCTCCAGACATTCCTGCAGTCCCAGGATGCTATAGAAAAATCGATCCTACAGTCAGACAAAGCTCTCACTGATGCAGAGAAGGCCAGAACAGGTACTGGGGAAGGTAACACTTTCAGAAGAGGGGGTTGGTTCCTGAAAACCTTAACTGATGGACATGAAGATCTTTATGAAAGGAGCTTCCTGTTCTACACTGGAATGTACAAGATGCTAAATCTGAAAAACAAGAGGTCAGGTCTAGTCATAGCCAGTGTGGCAGCACATTTCCATGTCATTCTCACATGTGCCTGGGTTTGATCGTTGGAAAAATTCAGAGACAGTTTGGGTTTTGATCCCAGTGGGTAGCATTAAGGCTTGATTCTTGTTGTTTTTCTTCTCTAAAACCAATGTGGAATAGCTGAGCGGGCTGCAAAAGAAGCATCTGAGATGGAGAAGGAGGTGCTAAGACAGGAACAGAAGGAACAGCAGCAAAAGATGGAGGCCCAAGAGAAAAGCTACAAGGAAAATATGGCCCAACTACAGGAGAAGATGGAAAGGGAAAGAGAGAATCTGATCAGAGATCAGGAAAAGAAGCTGGAACACAAGCTGAAGGTGAGTCTGATGGGGCCTGGGATATATCACAAGGATACTTGTGAGCCTGCCTTTGCCAGCTCCTCCCACCTCCTGAGAGAATCGCAGGGAGCTAGGAGCACATATGTTCTTACTACCCATGAATCAGGAGGAAACATTAGACAAATGTGTCAAAGAACACTGTGGTCCTGGAGTGTGGGGAAAGACTGATAGAGACAAAGAGAGAGACAGGGACATCCTTAACTCCTAGGGTTGTTAAGGGAAAACTCTTGATATTCAGTAAGTTTTATTTTCAAGGTTTACTTTTTCATTTTGTAGATTCAAGAAGAAATGCTTAAAGAAGGATTTAAAAATAAATATGAAGATATTTGTACAGAAATACATCAACTGAAAGAGGAGATTGAAACAACCAAGACAGAGAAGCTATGGGGTGGAAAATTATTGGATGGACTGGGTGATGTGCTTCTGTTATCAGCGCCACATCTTCATGCTAAGTTAGTGGGTGCCTTTTTGAAAGGGGTACCCTACACAATGAAATAGACTCCAGATTTCTTTTAAGAATTAATAAGGAAAGCCATTCTTTTGACGGAATGTTAACTTTCAAGTTGATATCATGCTATTTTTTAAAGAGGTTAAAACAACAAGGGGACACAGGAATGGAGGGATGATGAGCAAATGCTGTCATTATATTTAACATACGTTATATTAAAAATGATGTAATGGTGGGTAGGGACCATGGAAAAAAGTATGGGGAAAGTGACAGAAGGGGGAACATTACCCAAGAACCATTGTACCTGAGTTATGGAATTCTGAAACATTTGTGCAGTTCCTTAATAAGAACAATAAAAATTCAGTTTATAACTATTAAAAACAAAAATATATGGGCTATTAATTATCTCAGTGGAAATGAAAAAAAAGTAATTTGAATATATCAGGGCCTGTTGTACAAAACCTGAACTTAATATCAGTCATATTAGTGTAACTAATAAGCTGATTAGAAAACATACTGAAAGAAAATACTAATCTATGTAATATATCAAAATTAATAAATGATAATAGAATTTTTTAAGTAAAAAGTTGTTCTTAAAAAGGTCCATGAAGTACTGTAGAATAAAAATCAGAAAACTCTTTAAATTATTACTAAACTATCAATTTTAGATTGATAGGATCAAAATGTAGGTGATTCCTAAGGCAATATGTCGATATACTGTGATTCAAAGAAATATGTAACACAAATTTTCAGGAAGTATATTTTAATATTTATATGTCATAGTACAATATTAAAATTCCCTTGAGAGGAAAAAACCAAAGTTCAGCAAGATAAAACACCAAGAATTATGTACTCAAAAGAGGTGAAGTGAAGGGGACGTGGGGTAGATTAATGAACAGGAGAAGAGAGGGAGAATGCAGTCAAGAATGTAATGTATAACCTACAAAATTAAAAAAGAATAAGAGAAGGGGGGATAAAAAAAGGAGGATGAGAAAAAGATAAGAAAAAGGAGGGTGACATTGATCAAGATATATGTTGTTCAGAAACTGCTCCTTTGTACAACTACTTAATCATAATAATAAAAAGAAAAAGTATGAACAAAGCAACCAAGGAAATTCTAGAAAATGAAAAGATGGATCAATTAGAGAGCAAGAGCTCCAACCATGTTCTAGAGTCCAACCCATAAATAGCATAGTGGCACCAGCCTCTGAATATTTCCATAGGAGTAAAAAAAAATCTAGGAGTACAAGTATTGTAGAATCATTTATGCAATGAATTGCAAATTTTATTTGTCCAAAACAAATATAAAAATCTCTCCCTCTCTTTATATGTGTGTGTGTGTGTGTGTGTGTGTGTGTGTGTGTGTGTGTGTGTGTCTACAAATAACCACACTATGGAGCGCCTTCAAAAAAGAAATCTAGACAGCTATGTCACTAGATAATAAAATAAGGTTATTAACTTTAAAAATTAGAGCTATAAACAACATCCACCTTGAAATAATGGAGCAAATATGTAAAAAGGAATTGAAGCTTAATTGCAAATTTGTGCAAAACAAATTTCTGAGATGCCAGTGCCCACTATAGATCAGTCAGGAATATCAGATTTAGTTTTGATTTGACCTTACTACTTAGTCAAAAAGAAATAAGGAATAGAACAGAAAACAAAAAGTAGCAAACATTTGCAGGCTAGAAATAATCCCCCTACAGGATGAACTATCAATGCTGTGGAAAATGGCACCAGTCAGTTCAACAGGAAGAATGTGGCTATCACAACAACCGAAGAAGCACACTTCTGCATCCTCATCTTTCTTTCCATACGTATTCTCTATAAAGCCTGGGATGATGACTACAAATGGTTTTGAAATTCCAACCTCATTTGTATAAAGTTAGTGAATTGGAAGAAAACATTCTCTTCAGGTCCAACTCAGAGATTTTGGATCCCTCTCAGCTGTTTTGCTTCGGACTTTGATGGACTAAACTTGTGTCAGTTATATATGTTAGTTTTGGATTCTAGGATTTTTCACACAGTCTATCGACTTCTATAAATAGCCCAGTTTTCATATCTAAATTGTGTCTTTTCCAGAGTATGTTCCTTTTTATGTTCTCTTACTTCAAACCTTGAACTGCATGTGTGATCCTTGAACTATGGTATCACTAATCCTTTCTTGGAACTATAAAAATGATACTACACATGTCTTGCTATCTCTCCTGCTATCTCTTCATCCCCTGTATTTGATCTTGATTACCATTTATTTTTAATGACTAGATACTATTCAGAACAAATACACTAGTTATTCTAGATAACTTTTTGAGGCAAGTACTCACTGAAAAGCCAGAAAGGACCTTGACATAAGAGACAACCATAGAGAGACCCCAGGCACTCACAGCTGAGGTACCTCAAAACTGCTACAGTCATCTCTGCAAATGCACCTAGCAGCCCCAGGCAGCCACACCCAAGGCTGCCTGCCACCTGACACCTCCAGCTGCCACTGCTGCAGACCAGCATGCCACCACCTCCCCCACTCCCGCAGTCCACACCAGTGCACTGCACGAACCTCCACCTGCTCTTCCCAGTGCCAGGACTCACCATGTTGCCACAGAGGAAACCCTTCAGCATCAGCAGAACCCCCCACCCACCTGCACCTGCCAACACCCAGACCCTCTCAATGAGAACCTGCCAACTCCATCCAACCCACCACAGCACAGGCTCTGGGTCCAGCACACCAGCAGCTACAGGCCTTGTGAGAAACCCAACTGGGTCCACTCCCTGGAAGGCAATTCCCTGTGTGATTCCAAAGCCCTCTGACCCAAGCCCCCTTCCAAAAGGCAGGGATCATACCAGAACAGAACATGGACATAACTTCTGTTCTTAAGGTTCCTGTGGCTACCAGGGAAAGCCTGGGAATACAGCTCCAGGAATATGATAGCAGCCTAAAAACCTGAAACCGCCAAAACTGTCTCCCACCAGGCTTGAGAGGGGACTGTATATAGCAGGGAAGCCTCCCCCATCAAAAGGCCATCTGCTCCCAACCAAGCCACAAGGAAGGTGGACTACAGCAAGGCAAACAAAGTTCCATCAGAAATCTGCTCTGAGGACTACGGGAAGACTAAACTCCCCCAAAGAACCAAAAAATACAATCTTTAATTTTTTATTCTTGTTTGTGTTTAGTTTTGTTAGTTTTTTTTTTGTCTGTCGTGGGGGCTGAACACTTGGCCTGGACACTGTACCTCAGCTCTTCATCTCAAGGCCTGTGTCCTACCACTTGAGCCACAGCACCATTTCTAGCTTTTTTTCTGCTTATGTGGTGCTGAGGAATCAAACTCAGGGCCTCATGCATGTGAGGCAAACAGTCTACCACTGAGCCACCTTCCCAGCACTGTTTGTTTGTTTTTATTTCTATTTGTTAATGTGTATTGTGATTTAGGATTTGCTATTCCACTTAAAGCTTCTATTTGTCATTATTATTTGTTTTTTTCTTCCACTTTCCAATCTCCTAATTTGTAAGTTTTTTTTCCCTTCTTTCTTTTCCTCTCACTCTCCACTTCTCCATTCTCTCCACATTATAGTATATACCATCAGAGGTACCCTGCCTAGTTCTATACACAAAGTAAGGTCTCCTTCTATGTGTGTAAACAATAGTTACAGGAGTTAACTTAGATTCAGTTATTCTCCAATAATATCTGAATAATCTTTCTCTCATCTCAGCAAGTCTCCCAAATACATTTATATATAACGTCTTTTTCTTACCTTCATCTGGATCTCTAATCTACTCCCTACATAACCTTTCTTCGAATTCATTTCCACCACTTATACTCAGTAACATGGTCTGTATTCTCCTCCTACATATACTGATCCCCTAATCTGTTCTTACCCCTCTACTATCATTTTACCCAAGTTCTCTTCTGAATTTAAATTCATATCTCTCCATTCCTAACTCTTCATTTCCCCATCTGCTCAGCCCATTGATCCCTAACGGTTTATATCTGAACCAACTTACAGTTGGTTCTATAGTTGACCACAAAATTGGTTCCATTTAACTATTTTGAGTACAAGGGGCCCATCTTGTTAACTCTAAGGAGCAGACTACTTATCAGCCAAACCCAGGTTGTCTCAAAAGTTGCAACTATACATAATCTCGACCCAAAAGCCACAATATCCCTCTCCAAGAAAAGAAAAAGAGAGCTAAATAGGAAAATACCTATACATAATTTTGAAACCCTAAGATCTATGCATCTACATGACACCGGGTTGGCTCTGACCCCCCCCCCAAAAAAAAAAAAACACTGTAGTACTGTTGCACCACTGTGATTCTTCTCTCCAAATGGGTAGAACTGACCACAGAAATACAAGTAATATGGCCAACCGACAAATCCCAACACCATCTCCACATAAACAAGAAACACTACTTTCCCTCAAATATTACTTTGATCCAAAGACATTAATCGTATGGGACTTTAATACAACACTATACACCACTATCCTCACTAGATAGATCAACCCGGCAAAAACACAACAGAGAAAACTTGGATCTCAAAATCTGCATAAATCAAATAGACTTAATGGACATCTACCGAATATATCACCCAACAGCATCAGATAACACCATCTTCTCAGCAGCACGTGGAACATTCTCCAAAATAGACCACATTCTAGGTCACAAAGCAAATCTGTCCAAATTCAGAAACATCGAAATGATACCCTGCATTCCCTCAGACCACAAGGGAGTTAAATTAGAATTCAACACCAAAAGCCACCAAAGAAAATCCTGTAACACATGGAGGCTGAACAACACACTGTTGAACCAGCAGTGGGTGGTGGAAGAGATTAGAAAGGAAATTAAAATGTTCATGATATTCAACAAATTACCAGCTCCTCTGGGACACAGCAAAGGCAGTACTCAGAAGCAAGTTCATAGCTTTGAGTTCCTACATCAAGAAATTGGAAAGATCTGAAACCAACAATTTAATGAGTCATCCAAAGCTCCTTGAAAAAGAACACAAGCTAAACCCCAATACAGTAGATGGAAACAAATAATTGAAATTAAATCCAAATTAAATGAAATAGACTCCAAAAACTAAAGAAAGAATTAATAAAACAAAGCGGTGGTTCCTCAAAAAAATTAATAAAATTGACAGGCCCTTAGCAAATCTTATGAGAATAAAAAGACAACATATCCAAATAAACTCAGAGATGAGAATGGAAACATCAACACAGAAACAGCCAAGATTCAGAATATAATAAGGGGATACTTCTCAAATCTTTACACTAATGGATCTGAGAACCTGAAAGATAAGGACAAATTTCTAGCAAATACTGACATGCCCAAA